AATGTAAATAAATTAATTTCAGTAAACTAGAGGCTGAAGCTAGACATACAGACCAGCCTCTGAGTAAGATGCTTTACAGACTACCACATCTCTTGAGACAACAGAGGTCCCGTGCCTCAACTCATTTAATACCAGGTAACACAAACCCTACAGATCATAATGCAAGAATCGTGCAGTGGCAGGAGGAAGGCATGTGGAATAGGACTCTGTGACCTAAGAGAAGCAAAAGCTGCAGAGACCAGTAGCTCAGTGTCTATGTAAGAGCCCTGTGGGCTCCCTTCAGCATCCTTAATGTCATCTTCATCATCTGTGATCCGTTCTAACAGTCCTCTGTGAGCTGGAGATTTAATATCTGGGAAATCTGGGGTCCTGGCTGACCTGTCAGGAGCAGCGGTGGACGGCTGCTCCCCGTTTACTGCTGTATCACTTTGCTTTTCAGATTCAGCATAATAAACAACAACGAGACCTGACGCTATTTTATGAACCTGGATGATATGGTTTAAAACCTCTAGAGGTCAGGCTGATGGGGAGCATCTCTCCAGCAGCCGCGTTCTGCCGAGTCCGAGTGACACCTGCTGGAGTCCTGTCCCCCATAGCCCACTCCGTCCCACCACCGCCAGCTTGGCACGCCTTTCGCCTGCCCAGGGTGGCCCTTCTGGGGCTCTGCGTGCAATAAATCCCTCTAAAAAGACACATGGGAACGTGAAATAAATCTGGGTGGCTCTTCGCTACTGCAGGAAGGCGAAAGTTGTCTTTTTCTGCATATTACCTCTTCCACCACTCCAGTCATCCAGGTTTATTTCCATCATACACTGAGGCCTGGCCTCTCCTTTTGCCTTTGCCACCCTTGCAGAGGAGCTGTAGTAAAACACAGTGTACTTCCACAGGGAAGAATCCCGAGCGGGGACTGAAATGGGACCACACGATGCATTATTCGTCTGTCACCTAGTCCCTGTGAAAAATACAGTCTGACATTTCTCCTCTCGCCTTGAAGCCACCCAAGAAGACTGCAGGAGAGGGCAGGTGACCCCCGAAGAGGTCTGAGAAGCCCTCATTTCTTACATTACAATGTACGTCAACAAATTTAAATGTATGTTGCAGTATCTACTATCTGCAAATGCACATGTACAGCGTTGAGGGTTGCAGTGTCTTCTGAGCACGCTGAAAAAAGTTCATTTGTGGGAAACCAGCAGCCCCCGTAAGACTGTCGCGGGGAAGACTGGTGCATTTTTCTCTCCCTGCTGTTCTCACAATCCTGCAGGGACCGTGCAAGGAGCTGGTCTGCCCTGGGGTGTTGGAGGACACCAGCCCCGAGTCACCTCGCATCGCTGGGCCAGCGCCTCCGGACGAGGGGCCCTGCCGCCGAGGAGACCTGCTGGAGCC